GAGAAGTCGTTTCTTAGAACAGCCACTCCTACGGCATCACCGGCCAGCTTAACTGAGATGATTGAATTTCCGCTGTGATAACAGCCAGCGTTATCTTGTTTGTAATAAGCCATTTCCAGGTCTGGAATTTCCCTTTTCAGGGTAGTGAGGCAGTCAAGCATTATCGAAGCCACAGTCACACTGTCTTGAGCGCAGCTTTGAAATACGTGAACAAGTGTTTGCGATTCAAAGTGCTCAGAACCCTCTGACCGTCTTATGGCAACGCTAATGTGCCATGGCAATCCTCGTTTCGCAAACCAATCTGACTGTGCCTCTCGATATTTTCGGGGCATATATTTCATTGCCCAGTACTAGACTAACAGCACCCATCGGCTGTCGAGTTTGGCTAAAACTGAATGCTTTGTCTCAGCTTGGTGGACTGAACGTAGCTGATGGGCTTTCCAGCTAATGATATCATCCCTTGCCTGTTTGATAGTAATGGCAGGAATATCAAAGTCACTCGCTTGTTCATCAACCTGACAAAAAAGTGAACACATTGCTTTGGATGGCTTCGAAATGAGATCGACCGTGTGCAAGCACGGGGTGTCGTGTATAAAAGCGCAAGTCGCAAAGTGACCTGTTGGACAACCGTCTACAATGTAAGAGGATTATTTATCCATTATTTTGTTTATGTGAAGAATTTATTCAGTCGATACCTGTATCATTCCAAAACCTGGGCCTCTATAAAGCAGTTTAAGTAATAACTCCTGGGTAATCCAGGTATTACATATTGTGGGAGAAACTATTGTTAATACAAACCTCTTATTGTCTCCTAATTTACTAACTTAATAAATAGCTTGAAATTACCCTCAACTCCAGTGATGTCAGTCAACAGTCTTGCCTCTTTATCATAATTCAAAGTCACTCTATGTTCCGTACAGTTAACGCGGGAATATACAAGCCAAGTTTTTTAACAATACTGACATTCATCGGCTATGTTGCATTACTCCAGTCAAGAAAAGGGACTTTTAGCACTGAAGGTTTTGTGGATTTCATCAACAACCTGACCTGCAGACTCATTAATCCAAGCAAATCTGAAATTGGCATCACCAAAAACATCCTCAACCACATAAACAAAGTAATTTAAGAAACCAAGGTGAACCTGTGGAAAAGTACTAACAACACTATAGAATGGTTCAAGGCAATCCCAGAAAAGGAAAAGCACGCATTTATCACCTTTGACGTGTGCGACTTCTATCCATCCATATCTGAAGACCTGCTACTGAATGCGTTAGATGATGCCTCCAAATTCACCACAATCACTCAACAAGACCGCCAAATTATCATTCACGCAAAAAATCACTCCGTTACCACCAAAACTCTCCATGGACCAAGAAGGAAACAAAGGACAAGTTTGATGTTACAATGGGCTAATATAAAGGAGCAGAAATGTGTGAATTGATAGGAATGTACATGTTCTCCTTGATCGCAGCTAAATTATACGATGAGGTTGGACTGTACCATGACAATGGTCTTTCAGTTTGCAAAGCCATACATGAAGCCGAACAAAAAACTATCGTACGTCCACCGACAGAGCAACCACCACCAGCATTACTAAAACACATACCACTCAACATCGACAAAAGGCTAACTGACATTTTACCCAGCAGAGAAATATTTGAAGAATCAATTCCCCCTTACCAGCAAGCACTCAAAGAAAGTGGATATGATCACAAACTGACATACAATTCAGAGCCCACTCCAAGAAACAAAAGAGAAAAAGGGACATTACATGGTACAATCCAATAATATATATTATATATTATATAGGTGGTGATCCTAGGGAAAGGAGGCAATCAGTTGCTCAAAATCCTCTCCCCAACCTTACTCTTCGTAAATTTTCACAGGGGATAGGGCCGTGCATTGCCAATCGACCAGGGGGTAGTGAGGTGTTCCTGATTGCAGAAAAATGTTATGTACATCTCCTCGGACCTAACCACATGAAGGTCAATTATCAGCTGCATTGCCAGCATGGTTGGTTCAGTGGCTGAGTGGTTTAGGCATCCGACCAGCAATCTGGAGACCCAGGTTTGATTCCTGGCTGAACCACATTTTTCACTCATTTCTTTAGTTGTGTAATTTCTGTTCCTTCTTAACATTATTTATTATTATATATTATATATGAATTATTACAAAATGAATACAACTGCTTACAGCAAGCTAATAAAGGAAAATGGAACAAAAAGGTACAAGAAATCAAGTGGCAAAGTTGTAGAGAAGTTGAATGCACAGTCTGCAAAAATAGCTGAAAATCTTGAACTGGGCAACCGCATTGAAAAACTAGGCGAAAAGGAGGAGGCATTTCTAACTTTAAAAGATCACAAACCTGCATTCCACGACCACCTGCCCTGCCGCTTAATCAATCCATCCAAATCTACAATCAGTGTGATAAGTAAACATATCCTTGATGATATCAACACAACCTTCACCAATAAAACGAAGATCAATCAATGGAAAAACACATCTGGTGTTCTCAAAAGGTTTAACGGCCTGCAACCCAAAGAGTCGCTATCTTTTATATGTTTTGATGTGTGTGATTTTTACCCGACAATAACCGAGAAGCTACTCCACAAAGCGCTTGATTTTGCCAATAGTTACCGACCCATCAGCGAACATGAACGTGACATAATAATCCATGCTAAAAGGTCACTGCTGTTCAGCATAAACATCCCTTGGGAGAAGAAGACCTCCAACAACCGATTCAATGTAACTATGGGGTCATTTGATGGCACAGAAACTTGTGAGCTGGTGGGTTGCTACATCTTATCACTTCTAACTGAAAAGTATGGAAATAGCATTGGTCTTTATTGTGATGATGGGCTGTCCTCATTTAATAAAACGCCACAAAAGATTGAAAAGTGTAAGAAAGATATCTGCAAAATTCTCCGTGATAATGATCTAAAGATCACAGTGGAGGCCAACCTAACCAAGGTCAATTTTTTAGATCTTACCCTCAACCTAAAAAGCAGGAAGCACTTGCCATACACAAAAGAAGGAAATACCCTGCTATACGTACTTAAGCAATCTAACATCCCCCTTCTATTCTAAGAAACATTCCTGAATCCATCAACATGTGTCTTTCAGAAATTTCATCTGACAAGGATTGCTTCAACAAGGCCAAAGGTGCATACCAAGATGCACTTAATAAAAGTGGCTGCAAATACAACCTGTCATTTAAAACCCCAACCTCTGATGCGTCACAAAGGAGCAAGAACTGCCAAAGAAACATCCTGGGGTTCAATCTGCCATACAGCCAAAATGTAGAAACGAAAGTCGGTAAATGCTTCCTCCAATTAATTGATCAAAATTTCCCTAAAACCAACCTGCTGCACAAAATCTTCAACATGAATACTCTAAAGCTGAGCTACAGCTGTATGACGAACGTAAAAACCATTATCTCCAGCCACAACAAAGCCCAGATTAACAAACCATCAAGCCAATCAGAAGAAATTGATAACAACTGTACTTCACCCTGAGGAAGGCTGGTGTATCTGGCCGAAATATAGGTGAAGGATAGAAAACATATTGTTTTACTCTTCATTTGCGCTGTTTTCATATTATATACTATGAAGAGGATATGACATTGGATGTGTGCGATAGAATATATATAGTTTGTACAAAGGAGAATGGACTACATCTGTTCATTTGAATCCTCTATTGACCTGTCACATTTCGGCTTACCCCTCTTCAGGGGTCTATATATATTATATGTATTTGTCTGCGTTTATGAAAACAATGTTAATGAAATCAAGTGGTTTTTATTAATTTTTCTTTGTTATTGTTTATTTATTTATCTTTTTAATTTCCTTATGCTAGCAGCTTGTAACTCTTCCCTAGCATAAAATGTAGAGGACTTCTTGCTGCATGTTTTGTTTATTTATCTATTTTTTTCATTATTCATCGCTACCCCTCCCCCATCCCCTTTTCAATCGGTGTTAAGTTTAGCCCAGACTACACTCNGTTCTGTAACTGCTGTCTAAAGGAAGTCTGCCCGAGGACATCATTAAGTCCAATGAAGGTGCAAGTCTAATGATTTGCTAGCAAGCATTGTCCATTATCCTACATGAAAGGGCCCTAAGATGTACTGAGAACGAGACGTCATTTAGCCCTGTAATAGTGGGTTGTTAGCACTGTGGCAATAATTTTTTCTTGCTTTAGACAGCAAAAAGCTTTAGCCACATCAATTTAGGGCTTAGACATGCAAAGCACTACACATTTCTAGCTGCTGTTGGCATTATGTGCTCTGAACTTTGATGTAGCTTAAGACTTAGAAGAAAATCTGTTGAAATCTGGATATGCCCTTCCACACTTGACAAAAATCAAGTACATACGATACGAACCCATGCCTCCATTCGGAGACCAGAAGAGGTTAAATACAATTGTGTACAATTCATCTAGACATAACATTACGCCGAGCCAGTCTCGTATATTGTAATAAGAATTGAAGGAGTTTTAGGAATTTTTTATTTGCCAGAAACCACTTCTCACATCAAGGGTGGAGAATATTGCGGCATTGGGCATATGCAATGCAACATCTTCAACCGTCCTCATAGGGTGATGGGGCCATTTAAGGGCTTTATCGAGATCCCTCGGGTCGATGTAGATGCGAATACTGCCATCTTTCTTCTTCGCTGCTACCATTTGTGAGATCCACTCAGTTGGTTCAGACACGGGTGTGATCGCTCCAATCTTGACCATCCTATGAAGCTCTCTTTTAACACTATCCTCCATTGTGAGGGATATTCTGCACGATGGTCTGATCACAGGGGTGACATTGGCATCAAGCCTTATTTTGTAAACAATGAGTATTTTGCAGCTTCAGAAGTATGATTTGAAGTTTATCTATATGGGACTGAATTTTATGTCGCAGACACACTGTCACGCTCCTACATCGAGGAGAAATCTGATCCAGACGTGGATGAGCAGGTTGAAATCCTGTCCCTTACATCAATTTCTCCAGCACATATGGCCGAACTTCAGAAACAACACCGAGCTCTCATCAAAGCAAGTCAGTGGTCCAAAGGAAGAGGTCCATGGTCTCCACAAAGGAGGTTTATCGAAGAAAGATTCCAATTCCTACAATTTTTGATACCAGGTTTGGAATCTTTCTTCGATAAACCTCCTCTGTGGAGACCATGGACCTCTTCCTTTGGATCACTGACTTGGTTTGATGAGAGCTCGGTGTTGTTTCTGAAGTTCGGCCATATGTGCTGGAGAAATTGATGTAAGGGACAGGATTTCAACCACTGACTTGGTTCGACGAGAGCTCGGTGTTGTTTCTGTCTCATAATTTGTTGGCAACGCTAATATTAATAGCGCGATTGAGTGTGAGATCCCGTTCTTTTAAGAGTTGCTTTCGCATGTGCCGAAAGCTGACACCACATACAATTTTATCCCAAATAAGTTCATCCTTCAAAACGCCATACTCACGTGTTTGCTAGGATTCTGAGATCAGCTACAAATGACCGAAACGATTCACCTTCTTTCTGGATTCAGGTTTTGAATTTGTGTCTTTCCATAATGACATTTCCACGAGGGTCGCAGATTTCAGCAAATTTTCTTTTCAGCACTTCAATACTCTCACGAGTCTCTGCTTCGACTCGAATGGTTCCATCTTCATTCAGCACAGCAGGAGTGTAGACAAAAGATTTCTCCTTTTCAATCACTTCTGTTCCTGCCAGATTCAAGAAGATGTACGCTTTGGTTCTGTTGTCCTTTTCTCTGTGAGCAGCGGCGATGAACATTTCCACCTCTTGGGCAAAATGTTTCCAGTTTAGCGCCACATTACCCTCGAAGCTCAATGGTTCAGGCTTTCAGAGACTATCTGCCATAATTGACTGTTAGATTGTCAAAGAGGGCCCAGGCGATGCAGATTTTCTTTACTCCTGACACCATGTAGTTTTCAAGCGACGCCCTTCACTCTAGAAGTCCATTTATTCAACTAACCGATAAAATGTTACACACCCAACTTATTAAACTGATTAGCATTATTACACACACATTCCACACGCATACATTCACAGCTCATTCCACACGCATACATCGACACACTTGTTCCACAGGAAGCTCTTGTTCAGTCCATTTAGGATGAAGCAGGCCTTCAGAAAGCTATAGATTAGCTCTCCGCCACAGTTTTGATATCTGTACCTTCATGTTGATTTAGACTCCAGTTTCATGTTAAAAGCACTCCTCATTAAATTATACAATTTATGATGCAACGAGGAAACAGTGAATTTAGTCTTCCTGGCCTCAAAAGGCATACAGGAAAGTTACTTGCTGTTATTTGAGCTAGATAAGCCTTGTGGAAAGCTAGCTCTAGCACAGAATTGTATCAAGATTATCAGTGACAAGTCAAATTCTGCAGCTATGTTGTTGCGAATGAAGACAGATATTGAAATTAAATGTCACATAAGGGCTACTTTTTCACTGAAATATAGAGGTAAATAACCAATTCCACTGCTTACCATGCTCTTGTCACCATGATTGGCTAATTTAACCCACAGTAAAGACATAGTAAGGTCATTTAGGTGAGATCACAGAGGTTAAGCCTGTCTAAATTAGTGCCATGAATCAAATGATCAATTTAAGCTCTAATTGAGCTTTGTCTGGCTCCTTTGACTCATTTGCAGCGACTTCAAAGGCTTGTATAGGCATGGTACGGACTCTATTAAGAGTACGAGATAGATGGCACTCTCAGTACGACATGGCCATAATTATGTACACTCTGACCGATTTTCCAAAAACATGCCTGCAATTTTGGTGCAGAGTCTTTAACATGGTCTTCATAAATTCAGACATATATGTGACCTTCCATGGGAAAACGTACATTAACGCTTTTCTGTTAAACGACTAAAAACTAATGCCTAACAAAAGGAGAGCAAACGACTTTTCAGAGCATTTGAACGACTTGCTTAACCCATTGATGCCTGTGCCGCCCATAACCGCCCGTGTGAAAAACTCCTCTATTTCCCTATGCTGCCCGTAACTGCCCGAAAAAAAGCACATGGGGACAATTGCCTTTCCTACCCTTCCTGAAGATTTTTTGGTTCTCCTATTGTTCTCGAGAACAAATAAACCAATCAGGATGGACTTTCTGAGCATATTTTCAGGACTTTAGGGGTCCTAGAAAGACGGTTTTTCTTCTTAAAATTGTGCGCTCAAAAAGTACAGGTAATCATGGCGCGTTGCGGGCCAAATCTAAAAAACTTCCAAGGCCTTGTTTTCATTCCTAACACGGATAAATTACTCCTTTGGGCTTTAAAATAGAAAGGAAAACTACAAATCAATGTTCAGGTGGCCTCAGAATGGAGGATCAAGGAGTACAGAGTCCTCAAACCTTTCTGGTGAAGAAGTTTTTCTTCCTACAACCGCCAAGAAAACATGAGGATTGGAGCGCTTTCAAGTAAGTTTCGACAACAGATCGCAGGTTTAAAGCGGCTTTTCGGACTTTAGAAACAAAAATGGTAATGTACATTATTACTTTGAAGTGGAATTCAACTTTTGGAACGATTGGTAAAGCCACGGGTGTTAAAATGACTGCAAAAGTGGTTGGCAAAAACTCAAGCTTTCGCGTTAGCGTGAAGAATAATTTGAACATGCGGTCATGCAGCAAAGCACGTCTACGAAATTTTGAACAATTTGTCTTTTAAATAGGTTTCTTCGTCTCAGCTTGAGTGAAATTTATTGTTATTGAACTTCCTTTCGGATTTCTTTCATTTGGTTCCCTGTATTTGGGAATTTTAGGTTTTAAAAGTGAACAGTAACTTGCACGCTGGATTTCTGCATATTTAATTTAC